AATGTCACGATCCGGTAAACTTCGGCAACCTCGAAAGTTAATTAGCTTGCGATCAACAATCAAATAATGAAATACTATTTGTCGATAATCCGTTATTGACTCGTTATAAATAAAAAAAAGTCCTTATAGGACATAGTTTAGTATACATGCATGCATAAATTTAATAATTTCGATAACATTAAAATTTAAGAAACTCGTTTCATATGACTTTAGATGATAAAAAAAAAATGGTTTGTCCCGTGAAGATACATGGTCGGTACTTGACGAAAATAGTTCTTTTGCTTGGTGAACTTTGAGAGTTCTAAAAATGTCACGGTTAAGTAGGCTAAACCAGCGTAACATTAGGCGAAAACATATTTTGAAAATGATTGATTAATTGGTTGATTAACGTCCAGTTGTCAACCACTACTCTATAGCGTGAAATATGTCTATTTAATTTTCTACACTTCCCGGTCTGCATATTTCTGGGGTTTGTCTTATGTAAGGTGTCTATACTGGATATCTGCTCGGATATATTTTGTCGCCCAGCAAAACAATCTTAGTCAGAAAAGGTAATTCTTGTGTTATATTTCTCATCAACATATATTACTAATGCAAAAGAAAAATATGCACTCAACATTACATATCCTGTCTTCGTTCAATATTAAAACTTGAGTGTGAATACAGTTACACTGTCTTCGTTTGACTCGCTTTAACTTTAAAATTGGGTTCACAGACATCCGTGTACTTTAAAAGACAACCTGATTGATAATTTTATTTGATAACATATGACTACTTTATTTCTAAGAATTATAAAAAAAAATCATCGTTTAAAAAATCCTTTGACTTGCATTAAATCTAAAATTGGGTTCACAGACATCCGTGTACTTTAACTGATTGCTTCAAAAACATCTAAACGAAATTATTAAATTATACTTTGAAATGCTTCATTTAACATGTTTAATTTAAAATGTAATGCATGTATATGTATTATGCAATTTAAGTTACTATTATGTTTTTTAAATGAGGAAACGATGCAAAGGGGCATTTAAAACCCATAAGTCGAAGAAATTGTTCTCATAACAAATGCAGTTCTACGCCATCTTTTGCACATTATCCTTTTCTTAACTTTTTGAAAGGACGACAAAAATGGTATACAATGAAATGAATTCAGGAAAATTGTATAACAAACACGGTTTCTCGTTGATGAATTGTATAAACCGATTATGCATTTAATTGGAAATCAACAATTGTGGAAAAACCCACAAAGAGGCCATGTGATTTTTTTACACTATATAAAGGTGATATTTTCCGTTTGATTCAGGGTTTAACTTTAAATATACTGAATCGTTATTAAGGTAAGGAAGTTATTGAAATAAACAGCATGACATTGTCATGTATTACCATTAATAAAAAAAATAACAATCACATTATTACCATGATTACAGAACATTCTTTTACATGTTATATCTTCAATATTTACTATATAATGTAATTATCTTGAGTATAGAAATGAGGTACGGTGAAAACATTCACAAAAATTTTGTTTATTTTTGACTATATGATAATGCACGAATGTATCTGTCGTCCCCGATAATTTCCCTTATAATAAATTACGAATATTTCTAATGGAAGCAGTAAATAAAGATGCTATACAATAATTTATCTTGATTTTGGGCATCCCAAAATTTTACTAGAATCATGTTTCCTTTTTAACTTACACTCTGGAATACTACAGAGGAACCGGTATTATGCAAATTTCTTTTTGATGCAGGACTGTTTGTTTCATTTTTAAATGTACGAGGAGATCATTAATTTATAAAATAGTTCTGTAGATGGATTTCCCATAATTTGCTTGTATATATTCAATCTATTTTCAGCATGTTTCTTTCTTTGTTGGCTACAGAGCTCTTTCTTCTCTGTTTTTAATTTTCTCCAGACTGGATGATTCTGGTCTTTTCCTCAAATTTCCATTTTAAGTTAAGTTGTTTACAGATTTTTAGATGCTTTTTAACTCTTGGCTATGCCTTCCATTTTGGGCTTTTTAATTTGATGGATTTGGTTGCAACTGCTTTGTTTGAGGCGGTCAATAGGGCATCACTGATTATTGGAATGCTACTAGATGGTGACTGAGTCAATTGTAATTTTAAAATTTCATTCTGAATTGATTCGAATTAGAGAGGAAGATCATTTTGGTTCAATTTAAGCTTATGGGCTGTTTGAGTTTTTTGACTGGTTTTGTTTACACAAGTTGGGATGCACATATTAATAGTCACCGTTGCTTGAAAAAAAATTTAGGCAAACTGATAAGTGAGTCGTATATAGCTAACCTTGTCGATCCAAAAGGTAAGATTTTGCTATCCCATGGCGTCTGTCGTCTTTGTCTGTCGTCGTCAGTCGTCATCCGTCGTTTGTTACCTTTACATGAATCTTCTCCGCTGAAACTACTTGCTCAAATTTAACAAACGTTTGACACAACCCTCATTGTGTTGTGTTATTTTAAAAATATGTTCCATTAACCCTGCTTGCCAACCAACACAGGCAGACATTATTAAACACAGAGCATACGGGTAAAATGCACGTTTTATCTATTATCGTAAAAAACTATTATAGACAGAGAAATCTGACGGAACTAAAATGTTAAGAATGAGTATCTGCTGTCTATGACATCAAAACTGTCAGACGGTTTCTTATAGGAGTTATTGCTCTTAAACGACGTATTTTACCTGTTTTTGTCAGTTTGCCTATTATATCGAAAAGTATACAAAATAGAGAAAAACTTGAAAACCAAAAATAAGTAGTATGACAAGATCTACAAATAATTCTTCTTACTGAAATCGCCAGTCGACTCACTATTGAAGTTATTACTCTTTATTTTGACAATTTTGTTTTTCATTTTTGCCTACTATCTTCTCGTTGCAGTGGCTATATTGGGACAATTTAAAGTTAGTTTCAGCCAGACTTAGTGTTAAGAAAAGGGCAATCAACTAAAGAGCATGTTGACAATATACAATAATAATGCCAGTACATACATTTTCCATTTTCCAAAAAAAGAGAATGTAGGGATACAGCGTGCGGGTGTTTAAGAAATATCTATTCTTCATGGCATTCCTTTTGCCGTTCGGCATATTTCTATTATCTTTTATTTTTCTGACTTTTGTCTACGTTTTGGTATCAATATAAATAAAATCAAAAATATACGAAAAAACACAACTTCGTTATCAATGGATATCTTTATGTCGAGTATATAAATTAAACTATTTCTATTCGTATACTCCTATTAAATGTAAGAATAGGAGCACTCAAATACTTGAAATTTTACTATCTCTATGTATCTTTTCAAATAAAAAAAAATGACAACCGGGTTCTAAGTCGTTTGTTTTTGTGCAATTTTTATAGAGATCCTGGAACTCATTAGAGTATGGACGTTTTCTGTTACGGTGTCGATAATTTTCTCCTATAAATATGGGTGAGTCTGGTATTCTCGAAGCATGAGCAGTAACTTCTGATCAGAGACCGGTACAATTTTCCTGTAAATATTCTATATAGTGCACTTATGACGGAGTCCAATTCAACACAAAAATTATCCCCAAAATTATTCCGTTGATTAAACAGTATAAAAGGTGCAAAAGAATATCAGGCGAGGAGAAAGAGTATCGTTCTCTGCTGTTTTTGGTGGGTTACAAAATATATCTGAGAGGACAGTATTGATATCTTATACAAAGCAACAGATTGTTAGAAAACCCGAGAATTTGTAGAGGAATTAAAGAAAACTATATAACTTATTACAAGCTATAGATGAGGTTGTGAGGTTGACAATGCCATCTGGAGCGCAGGAAGTTTGTGCTTTTTTTTAGCTGTAGCACGAAAGTACATTTGTGTTCCAAAAATTATGGACATTTGCGCTTTAAACTTTGATACAATACACCTGAACCAACTTTACAGGACATTTGCGCTTTTTGGCTATGATAGTCTACCTGCAATCTTTAAAATTTTTACAAAAGTCGGGGAAAGATGTTAACATATTCTTTGAAAGATCTTCCGAACAAACGACTTAATCAGATAAAATAATTCGGGTAAATCAGACATATCGTAACAAAAATATCGTATATGTTTCTGGGTAATCGATAGAGATAACTAAACTTTTGTGGAAATGACATTCACATTTTCCCCTTAATTCTTCAAGTAGCTTTATAATTTGTGGATTAAATAGTTGAATCTATATTCCTCTTATGGTCATTCTGTTGCATGAATAGTTCGAAAAACTGTACCATTATAGTTTATCTAAGCTTGTTTCAATTTGTGAAGATCCAAATCTGATTTTGAAACCACCTGCTGTACATGTTGACTTTTAGGAAGTCGTGGTTGTTTTAAGGAATTTACTTCCATCTAACCTCTTTGTCTTTTTCATCTGACACTATCCTGAAGGGGAAAGGTTAATTCATTTAGCTGTATAAATATATGAATGCTTCTGTTTGATGACATCAAATGATTATCTAACCTTTTTTACCATGATAACTCATATGTTATGTTGAAAAAGCACAAATGTTCAAAAATTTAGGTACAAATATCTTATCAAAAAGCGCAAACGTCCCACGCCAGCCATCGGACAATAAAAAAATACAAAGTTATTGGGACTTTGTGGCAACATACAAGACAGCTATTCAAATCTATTGCATTAGGGTATCGTCGAAAAGACTTATTTACATCATACAAAATATATTGTTTTTCTTTGTATCTCTATTGTTTTTTTATATTTTGAGATGACCCTTTGTTTTTCGCCAACTGTAATCGTAAGTCTTAGTGTAATCCTAGGTAAAGACCTATTTCCCGCAAATGTCTACTATCATTATTATCATTATTATTGATATCATTATTATTTTTATCAATATTATAGTAATTCTTCTTCTTATTATAGTAATATTATTATTTTTATTATTATAATAATTATTATTACAAATAATCTATAATGAAATATTCTTATTCGCTGTTCTTTGAGAACTTTGTTTTAAATTTGCAGAATGAAAATAGTATTCTTTCTGGTATTACTTTGCATTGTTACGTACTGCCAAGCATCAGGCAGACGAGAAGAACGAGTAAACTGGAGAGGCAGAAGAGCGCCAAAAATTAAGGTGAATCTGTCGCTAACAAATTGTAAATGCAATGGGTATGAAGGAGGTACACACGGGGGCGGTCCAAGACCATTCCGAATAGTATGCAAGAAAACTTCAAGTGGTTCTAAAAAGAAAGGAAAGAAGAAGAACAAAGGGGATGGTTCTAAGAAAATCACAAATGATTGTACGTATACAGGAAATCCACATAAGTGCAGCGATTACAACAACAACAATCAGGAAAAGTTTTATAAGGAACTTATTGCAGTAATTGCTCCAAAGCAATGTGGTAATCTCAATCTGGCTGGAGCGCCTTGTCCAGAAGGCACATTTAACACTAAAAAAACATGCGAGGAAATTGATTATAACTAGAATGAATTTTATTTCCTGGAGTATTATAGACACTATATTATTTCTTTTAATGCAATAATAAATATTTCACAAGACAGTCACGCCATGTTACAAATGGCATTAGATAAGAAATTGAAGCTTACTATAACGTAAAAGATAAAAAGATAGTGTTTATTTTTTTTTAATTCAAGTGTCACGGATGAGTCTTCTCATGCGAACGCGCCTCTGGTATACGAAATTATAAGCCTGTTATCTAAAAAAAAATGGAGGGGTAATTGTATTTACAAATTAAAAATAAAATCAGTCTAAACACAAAACATGTGTATGCAAGATGTTGATTTGTTTCTTATGCAATATTCAAAGATCTTACAAAGGTGTTTCATTGAGATCCTTTGACAGTAAGTTTATTCAAATAATCAATCAGTTTTTAATTGGTTTGTTTTTTTTACGTTTTATTTTGTCTTCGTCTTTTGTCTTCATTTGTTTGCTTTTTCTTTTGAAGTTTGTTTGTTAGTTTATTTGTTTTTGTTTTGTTTTGTTTTGTTTTATTTTGTTTTGTTTTTTTTTTTTTTTTTTTGGGGGGGGGTCCCTTTTCCGGCTGGTATCTAGTTTATGAACCGTTCATCCGTCATTTAATCAGTCCGTTAGTCATAAAGGATTCCGGAAGCTTTGTACTATCATTTTACTGTATATATATGTTCACAAATAATGAGCTAAGATCCATATTGATTTTGAGATACATCTGTGTAACAAGGTTAGAAACAAGGTCCAAAATTCTAAAATCGTATCGACAATCGTGTATGTTTAACAGATGCTTAAAAATACTCAATGTGGGATTGTTATCTTACTTGGATGTTTGGTCACATATACATTATTACGACAGGAAGATTCATATTGACTTTGAGGTTACCACATCTAAGATCAAGATCAAAAAGACTAAAAAAGACAATATCTGGGAAGAGATACGAAATAAAATATTTTTTTTTATCAGATTGCAATTTTTTTTAGTATGAATTTCGCACAGACAGGGAGAAAAATCCAAGTTTATTTTGAGGTCAAAGTAACTAATACTAGAACAACGTTTGCTCAGAAAGGTTGTATCGGGATACAAATTAAATGAGTTTGATAGAATTGCAACCAGATCAATATTAATCCTCCGCTTATATAGGTGTTTTTTTGTTTGTTTTTTTATAATTTTGTCTGATACAGTATTTATTATGGTCAATTATTCGGGACTATTAAGATTTTGGTTTTTTTGTTGCATGAATTTTACATATTTTTTTTATGAACCATACATTGCTTGTTAACTTACCTGGCCCAAAAAAGGCCATTTGGGCTTTTGCCATTACTTGGACTCCGTTATCATCAAAAAAAGATCGTTATCATAAACACATCATTGAAATTAAGATAATTAGGTATGAGCTTTGCATTACCAAATGGACACACGGTTTGTGGTTGCACGAATTGTACAGTAGTACGACCCATACTACATGTACGTAGAAATAATGGTGACCTTTGAGCTGTGTGAGCTTTCTTAAAAAGCATTTACGTTTATTCACAAAAACGACGAGTTTTTCATAAAAATCTAATTGTCCAAAGTTAATATTGACAGACGTTCCAAAGAACGAACCAATCGGATCACTAACAATAACATTGTTGCAGAATAAAATCCTTTGTTTTTCTATTACATCATGCGTACAATATATACATGATATACACTAGTTGAATACGCAAGTACATAATTAAATTAGATGCAATAGGGGTTTAATTATGAACAAATCTCCTAAAAACCCATTAACAAAATATCAATTAGACGTTAAAAACAAAATCGGGTAATCGCTTAAATTACAAAAAGATGTGGTAAAAATGTCAAAATTTGAAATAGGACACAAGTTCTAGTATTAGTATTCAAAAGAGAGGCGAAAGATACCAAAGGGACATTCAAACTCATAGGTAAAAAATAAACGAGACCGCAAGTAATTGTGACAATTGATTTAACACACGTGTCGGTCAACTAGTTGTAATATTGACCGTTAAACCTGTGTAAAAAGTAAAATCCCAAAAATACTGAACTCCGAGGAAAATTCAAAAAGGAAAGTCCCTAATCAAATGGCAAAATCAAAAGCTCAAACACATCAAACGAATGTATAACAACTGTCATATTCCTGACTTGGTACAGGCATTTTCTTATGTAGAAAATGGTGGATTAAACCTGGTTTAAAAGCTAGCTAAACCTCTCACTTGTATGACAGTCGCATCAAATTCCATTATGTTGCCAACGATGCGCGAACAAAACAAGCAGACACAATAGGTAAAAATATGTAAGAGAGACTATAAAAGTGTCGATTTCAGTCGCTTTTCCAATTATCTCTCTTTAGGAACATGTTTTGGCTTCAGATTCAAATCCTTTGCTATATTTTCCTCTTTGAATACACATGTGTACTTTAACATCATTGCCCGCATATTGTTTTTTTATGGAATAATTGACGTTCAACTTAAAATAACGTCTGACTATTTCATTGCAGTTTTGTCAAGACAATTTTTTTTTTTTTTTTACACTATCTATTTAAGTATACAAATATTATGTATTGTGGTCTGTGCTTTCGTCCGTATGTCTCGGTCTAGAGACATTTAAACAAGAAAATAATATACCAAATTAAGGTTTTGACCCGAAATAGTAGTTCACCAAACATGTGATATTGTGATGAAGCACGGTGTCCTAGTATCTGGTGGCATTTTTGGGGATAATTACCTTTGGGGGTTAATTGAGGTTTTTTTGAGAAACAATCTCCAAAAAGTTTCAGACGATTATGATTGCGAGAATTGTTCTATACTTTTGATATAACACCGCAATATACTCACGGAGCTGTAAAATTTGAAGTGGGAACGTTAAATTAAATGTCACTTGAACGTGAGTTACACGTTCTCTGCACATCTAATCACTTTGAAATAACTCTCTGCGATTTTCGTAGTAGGCCTGTTGCAAGCAATTTTGTTGTTGCTATCCAACGTACTGTTTTTTTCAGTTGCAGTCCAAATGTTCTGCCCTTAATCCAGAACGTTTCAACTACTGCTACGTTAAACATGCAAGCAACAATCAATCAATCAGTCATTATCTCATAACTGTTAAATATGTTTGAATATTTATTGAAAGCTTTTGCTTTCTTAAGTTTGTTTTTTATTTCTGTTAGGCTCTTTCGCTTCTGACACATGTTTGGAGATACCTGCTTGTTTGAAATGAAAACATGCATACAAGATCTATTCATAGATTTTTAATCTCTGTATCCGATACAAGGCGCTTTAATCGAAAAAAAAAATGAAAACAACACTTTGTAAATCTAATGCGTCCGAAGCGCTTTTCTGGATTTACCTTCATCAGGAACGCTCACAGCCGAATATTTGAAAGCCAAGGATGTATAAAACCGAAACAGTCATACTTTTTCAAAAAAAAAAAAAAAAAAAAAGAAATGGGAGATGTCTACTTGGAAAACTTATCTCAGACATTTTTTTTGATGCAAGACACAGTGCCAACGTGGATGAACACATTTCTGTGATTAAATCAGACAAATAAATAAACTTAAAAAAGAATATACCTTTAAAGAATCAAAAAAAATTTGAATGATGAGTCGTTTTTTTTTTTCCAACTTGATAAATCAATTTATATATACATGATTTACTTATTAATAATAATATCTAGTTCCAATAAATCAAATATTATCTATTATCAGGAGTTTAACGCTGTTTTAAATTTAAGTTAAACATAAAAATAAATTGGTAGAATTATGTTACTTGAAATAACTTCTGCATATTATATATTTTGTTGCACATCTTCCATATCTAGAATTGATGTTCAAACGTTTCAGTTGCATATTTTTAAAGATAAAACAAGTGACTTGTAATTTTTCAAACAAAGAAAAAAATAAGATGTTATTAAAATTTATGAAACACAGTGTGTGCTCCTTCGTAATGTTACATGAATATTGTTATAAGCAAATGAACTTGGCGACTTACATCCAAATATATATGTTCCCTTCAGACGAAAATTGTTGATGTTATACTTTTCTTTTGTCATATTTGACACACTTGCATGTGTGCATGTTTTTTTTAAATTGTTTATCCATTGATTTGAAATATTGGCGGTTTTGATTACGTTTAAATACAAGGGGATTTGACCAACTGATAAATGAATTTCAAGAAAAAAAAATGAAAGTGAACCTGTATTTAAATATATAAGTAATCTTTTTACAAATTTGGTTTACACAAATGTATAAAACTCGTTATGTACCAAAGTAATACATACGCATCCCGACAGGTACAAACTGCTTGACATTTTAATGTTAGTGAGAACACTTATGTTATAAATACATATCACATGATGACATGCTTTTGATTGGAACGTAATAGACAAACATTCGGATATTATATAAACACGTTCATTGGGTGATTAGACAGATATTTGTTAGCAGATTGCATAAATCAAACAGGTAAATAAATATTTTGATAGATAAAGAAGACCCATATAAAAGGAAAACAAAGCAAAGCAAAAAAAAAAAAAAAAAAAAAAAACAATCATGCATGAATACAAACGCCAAATACAAGATTACCACCATGTACAAATCACTTAATCATGTTAGCCGAATAATCTGAACGTGGTTTAGGTATTTACTGTATGTTATATCATTATGTTAAATGTTTACCATAACAAACAAAATAGTTGACAGCAGTTTATCGCAACCGATGAAATTTTACACAGAATATGTATTTGAAAGGATAATGTAGCATTTTACAGAAAGGAAAGAAAATGTATCTTGACCTTCACATTTTTTAAGACATTTATTTAATGGAGAATATACAATGCATTTATCAAAAATAGATATTCCTTGACTTAAAACAATAAACTGTATGAAAATTAATAAAAAACAACAAAAAGTGATGGTTAAAAGGAAGCAGCAATATCAAACAAATATTATTCATAAGTGAACGTTTACACTAACATATATTATGTATTAAAATAATTGCCATCAATATATTCTTGAAGCAATACACCTAGTTTAACTAACGTACTCTATAATTTTAGATTGTACCATCTGGGAATGATGTTTTATTCCAACGAAAGCCACAGCAACATATACCTTGAAGAACTGAACAATGTTATGGTTAAGTTATTAATACCAAATACTGTATTTTTATTTGTGCTTTTACTAGCCAGTCTGGCTGGTAATGGTTTAGTTGTGTACGTTTATATATTCAAGATGAAATCAAAAACGGATGACAGATATTTCATTCCATGCTTAGCTGTTGTTGATATGATCGCATGCGGCCTTGGAGTATCATTTGGGATTTGTTTGAACTTTAATCCGTTGAACTTTCGAAAGGGCGTAATATGTAAATTGATCTGGAGTGCAAATCAATTTACTGCAACGAGTTCGGGTCTGATGCTATTAGCAATTGCTGTTCAACGGTATATTAAGGTCAGTCGACTATCGAACTCTTCTATGAGCCTACGAAGTAAACGATTGACAATTACAGCAATCATAATTGTATCAATTGTTATATCACTACCGTGTTTTGTCTTGTATGGCGAAACGGAGGTCCCATTGAAAAGCAAAAACAGAACAATTACGGGATACAATTGTGGCGCTTTGCCTTATGTGAACCAAAATTTTCAATTTGGTTATTCAGTTACGCTATTACTAATATTTTTAGCTGGAATATTTGCGCTCATCGCATTATATTGCGTATTACTTCGTATCATATATAAACAAGAATCTTTCAGGAAGAGAAATAGATCAACGATACGTTTTTTAGGCGTCAGTGTACATCATGGTTTCGAGAACAAATTTATAAAAGAATCTGGTTCAACTAATTTTGCAGATGCGGATTATTCTGTTGACAAATCTGAATCCTACAACACGGACATGGAATCAAAGACGACAAGCAACCAAAAACAGGGCACGAATGGAGGATTCGGCATGCCGGGTCATATATCTACTGCTCCCTCTGCAATCCATACAAGACGAACATCAAAATTAATTAGAATATTCAGTCGAATCAAACGCAAACATCGATTCTCTATAATGTTTTTCCTTATCACACTATTATTTTTTATCACCTATTTCCCTAGAATTGCGCTGATGATTATAGAATCTGTGATAACAAGTTTCTGGGATACGTTAACAGACGCTGAATACGTCGTAGTTTTATGTTTTTACAGAGGATATCTAATGAATAATGTTGTTAATCCTGTAATTTATTTAGTATTTGATACAATTTTTAGAACATCTTGCAAACAACTGTGTTGTAGAAATTGACGAGACTACAATAATTTAAAAAGGATTAATACAGCTATATTCTTCGAAATGTATTATTTATTCATTCATGGGATTCAATTTTAAGTAGCATTACTTCGATATACATTTCTACCCATTGTTATATTACCTCTGCGCAATTACACCCCATTGACATATTGGACATTCTGAAAAGATGACACATACGTCTATGCATACCTTTTCAGTGGAAGAGACCCCCGTGTAAAAATGAACAAAAATAAAAACCATATAGTATTACATACTAATTTTAAACAAATTCATTGCTATCTTTTCAAATATTAAGATGATTCTGTGTTCAGTGCATTCCATCTTCCTAGAAGACACTAACCATGCATACCAATTGAAGCATAAATGTACATTTATAAAACAACGACTTTGGTCATTGAATTATCAAAATAAAGATGACAAATAACTATACATAATTATGATCATTAAGTTACCAGAACACTTATGAATGACAAGAACACTTAATAGATACAGGTACTTGACCCACTCACGTTCATCACATATGAATAAGATGATGTAGTATGAGTGTTATTGAGAAAACTCCCCCTTTGACTTTGACCTGTGATTTTTTTTAAGGCATAGTATACATAAATGGGCAATGCTCTTGTATGTATTTTTAACTTTCTGAATTGCATCATAAAACCGCAAACAGATTTATGTCTATACCAGCTATGCTTACACAGATACAGTCGATTGAAAGTTTTTGAAATAATTCTATAGATGTACAGTATGTAAAATATGCATTTTTCCACTTTAAATTGCAATTTCTAGATATCCGTCTATAGACTTATTGCTATTAAAATTTTTTTTTTTAACAATATGAAAATATTATAAGATCACCGTTTTCATTTATATTGCCTACATTTTGCGTCATGAAGTTATTTTTGTTTTGTCGTTTGGACTTTCTTCACGCTGTATATAGCTGATTTTGACTTTTGATTTTTCGTTGTGATGTCATAGTTCTGTCCAAGGTTAGAGATGAGTTGAACTTTCATAACTATATATTCAGCCCCATCAAATTTGTTATATGCATGTCACAAATTAAGAGCTTGTAAGTTAGTGGTCGTCTATTATATTTGCAAATTTCGTTAAATGTTTTGTCATAAATCAGACTGTTGGTTTTCTGTTTTTCAAAACACTTCAAATCAAATATGAAGGTATTGATAGGGGTGTAATACCTCTTGAAGCTATACCATGTTGTTGAAGTGTTGGATTTGTGACAGGTGAAGTACATGTGTATTGCAACTAATGCATGCTACTAAATTTGATTACACTATGACTGCATTACGTATTGGGGGCGACTATAATGATATTCTTGTATATATTTCAGAGATAACTGTATTGTATTTGAAGCTTTGCGGACGTCCATCGGTAGTTTTACTGTCGCAAATTTAGTTTACCTGGCGACGCGTAGCGGAAACAGGTAAACGGTTTTTTGCGACAGTAAAACTACCGATTGACGTCCGCAAAGCTTCAAATACAATACAGTTATCTCTATTCTAATGCAAAATAAACAAATCATTCAATTTTAGTCATTATGATAGTGTAAATTTTTTTCATTAAACGAAAATTCCGCGAAATAATGTTATCTTATTTGGCGCCGAAACTAGGTGACGACATAAGTATGCTTCCGGCATCAACGTAAACACCGGGCGTTTTCTGGCTTCTTGTCCGCTTCAGAATGTAATAAAATTTGATAAAAAGAAGGTTTCTAGGTGCAAAATGTGAGTTTTTTTGCTTATTATTGGAGAAATTACATGTCAATACATTCTGGAATTCAAAATGTCGGCTTCCTTAGTTACAGACAGGGAGATAGAGAATGTTACGCTTATTGTCATCCAATCAGAACCATTGATACAAAATAATTGCATTAGAATACTTCTTTCATTGGCAGTTCTTTGCACTGTTACAGTCCCTGTAACGTAAAAGTTAACAATACGATCGATGCCTGAATCATGTGCGGACGATGCCCGAACAATGTACGGACGATACCCGAACAATGTATGTACGCTTCCCGAACGGTGTACGAAGGCAATCGAAACGCTGACCAAACAATGTACGGACGCTGAACGAATGATGTACGAACGAAACCATGTGAAATAAACCATACCATAAACGAAACCATAATCGCTCTCTCATCGTATGGTTTTGCGTACATCGTTTCGTTTAGCGTATATCGTATCGTTAAGCGTACATCGTTTTCTTTAGCGTACATAGTTTCGTCTAGCGTATACGGTATTTATAAAGAAAAATTAATTGTGTTCTGTTAGAATCTGCAACAATATCTTTTTATATAGGTAATCATAGACTTAACATTTAGATTGGATGGATATTTCATTGTTTTTGTTATCATTCAATAAAATATAATTTATCTGACTTTTCATCCAAATTTATCAACCTACAAAAATTATTAGAAAATGAATACTGAAATTAATGTATATATTTGTAACACTTTCAAGCATGTCCGATTCCCCAAAACGTATCTATTTTGCCCAAACGTGTCTTTTAAATTCCAAATCGCAAAACGTGTCCGATTTCACACCCCCAAACGTGTCCGATAGTTGTTTTTCGCTAATACGTGTCCACTTTAAAACGCCTGAATGTCAGAAAACTTTAAGCGCTATTATGTCCCCGATAACGTTTACGGTAATTCCATTACAGAAGACACGATTGTGGATGTCGGGTTTCAGTTGGATTCTAAAAAAGATTAAAGTCACTATCAGAGAACATAAATGCTGTATTTTGGACACAATTACCGGAAATTAAAAAAAGTAACGGCGTTGGAAGAAGAATTAGTTTGTTTAACACTGGTTTGTGATATTTAGCACATTACCAGTTTGATTTGCAACATATTGATTTACTCTTGACTGTAATTGCTTAATGTTCAGTTGCAAATATGTCATGCATGTTTAGAGCAAACATAAAAATTGCAATTAATTAGTTTTGTACAGTTAAATGTATCGCTTATTAAGTGAATTCTTTTGTACTAATATAGTCCGGTGATATCTAATTGCCATTGATATTGATAGATTTCTTATTAGCTCTTTAAAGTATGTACTGGTATTATTTTTTTTGTTTTAAAATACTTTGGGTTCGAGCATCACTAAAGAGACATAAACAAGATGAATAAATTTGCATTTATCATTAGCATCCCTGATACCAACTTTATAATTCATAATCGTTAATTACTTAAATGTATCGTCAAAATACGTTCAAAACTGTATGCTTAAATTCCTTTATACTTTTTTAAGACAGAATAGTCAATTCAGACACGCCTAAACATAAAAAGGTGTACTCGACTTGGGAATTTTTTCTGCCATGTCGACGGGGGCAGAGATGCAAATTAATGCTTTAAAAAGAATAATTTATTATCTTTCGTTGGAATTTTTTTCGGCGGAATTTATGCTTATGCACAAGAAATATCCACATGTATTTGCACCTACCACAATCGACTGTTTTGTGAAAATTTGTCTATAATTTATAACTTTACAAACGTCTCCGCCTTCTTTTACTTTAAGGGTCCCTATACTTTAGCATTAGTGTTCATTCAGTTATAGAGAAAGTCCAAATAACTGTCCATTCCTGGGAAATAAGGGAGCTTACACCCCAGTTCTAGTGTTATACTTCATATTTTCTATTTCTGAAACAAGTGTAAATTGAATAGATCTATTGTTACGAATAACAATGGATTTTGATAACAGGGTGTGACGTGCTCCTACATCCCGGAAACACAGTACATTGTTATTCATAACAATAGAAATTGTTTTAATAGCATGAACTTAAGATATTACTTAAGTGTTCACTACAAGTTGTTTCAAGACATATTAAAAAAACATATTTCAGGAAATTCCAATAGCGAAACAAATATTTAGCTTCTATTTTGAATTAAAAACAACATTTAGATACTCCTTTGCTTGAAGCTGAAATTTTAATCCCATATGGCAATGTCTTAAAGAACATACATGTAAAGAACTTTTATTTGAATTATACATTAAAAACATATAGTTTTCATTTGGACTAACTCTTAAGACTAATGATGGCACCAAGGGGCGGATCGAGCCAATTTTTAGAAGGGGGTGCCAACCCAGGATAAAAGGGGGTTCCAGCCATATGTCCACATTCTAAAACATTGATCTTAAAAATATGGAGATTCCAACCCAAGAACCCCCCCCCCCCCCCCCTTTTTGGATGACCCGAAAAAAGGGGGTTTCTTCATATGCAATCTTTTTTTTTGTATGTTAAGCGTGTCCGGTCGACGGGTTTCTAATCCAGACACCTACCCCTCAGTATGTTCGAATATGAATGTTTGTTTAATGTTGAGAAGAAAGGGGGGGGGGGGAGGGGCTTTTTGGATAAAACCGTAACATGTAAAACTACCTTAACTTAAAATGAAACATCATTGATCTGGCATTAAAACGCGATTCTCCAAATAATTTAACAATTTAGGAGAAAGCCTGAATATAAAAAAAGTTAATAATTTAAGAGTTACCAATATGAAAATTTTACTACTTAAAGGCCTATTTCCCCCTTCCTTTACCCTACAAGAAAACTTTCCCGTAAGCCGTTGATTGAATAGCGTCCGAATATTTCCAAAAACGTTCATGTAATATGATGCTGTCATGTGTTCAAACAGTTATTGGTCGATCAAATCGGTATACATTGTATATCATTTCATTTGCACGTTCGGGATGACCCTTCAACCCAAACTTCTGCGTCGTTCGGGTCAAGTAAGGTCACCCGGGCCGTGCAGACAAAATGCAATATACCAGTTTGCTTGTACCATAACTATAACATATTTGTGTGTCCAGTTGATGAAGGATAGAAACGTATTTTTACATACAATGAAATAACAACAAGGTGTATTTTCTCTAGGAATTAACCTTGCGATCTTCTATATCATGATTTTACTGAATTCAATAATGCACTGCTAAACTAATATTGAATTATTATATAAATAATGCTTAAACAATTGCTGAAATTATACTGTTGTCAATCTAAAAATAGTATACATGTACAACAAGAATAAAATTAATCAAATGATACCAGAGTGAATATATGTCTCTGATAGTAGCGAATCAATTTTTTTTATACTGAAGGATAAACCCTTATGTTACAATATTGCTGAAAACAATATTACATTCATAAGCAATTATAACAATATAAATAAGAAGATGTGGTATGAGTGCCATGCATAAAAATTTAACAATTATAGGTCAGAGTACGGCCTTCAACCCGGAGCCTTGGCTCACACCAAACAGCAAGCTATAAAGGGCACCAAAATGACTAGTGTTAAAGAAACTAAGGTTTCAACTCCCTCAGGCAAAGTTGACCTTGGATGAATTTGGCTATTTGTTTTATGTATTTTTGTCATATAGCTCTTCAACTGTTTCGGTACTTATACATCCCTCGGATTTCAAATGTTTGGCTTTGAGCATTCCTGATGAAGGTAAATCCAGAAATGCGCTTTGGACGCATGAAATTATTAAACGTGTTGTTTTCAATTTTTGACATCACTGGGTCGATACCTCTGCTGGTGGACTATCAGTCCCCGAGGGTATCATCAGCTCAGTAGTCAGTACTTCGGTACTGACATGATTTATAACAAAC